TGGTTAAGAGCACTGGCAGCTCTTCCAGAGGCCCCAGGTTTGATTCCTAGCACCTACAAGGTGGCTAACAATGTCTCTAACTCCAGTTCCAGGGAATCTGATGCCCTCTTCTGACCTCCACGGGCATTGCACGACATGGGTGCACTTATACACATGCAGGCAATACACTCATAACACATAAAATAAAAATAATAAATAAAATATTTTTTAAAAGTCTTTGTTTTCTATAATTAAACTATTATATTCCTATAAGCACAAGTCTTTGCATATACAGTTAAAACTGCAATTTATAACAGATGGTAGTTGTGAAAGTGAGACAAGGTGCTTCAGGAAGCATTGGTCGGTGCTCCGAGGTGTGACTGCCATGCACAGTGCAAGGTGCACATGTGTGTTCAGAACCGAGGCTGTGCAAGGTTACAGAATGCAAACATGGGTGAGCACTGCTAGAAACACCTTAGACTCATTGTTTCATTTTGGATTAATGAGCTGAGGGAGTGACTGTAGATAGGCTGACTAGACTCCAGTGGATGAACTTACACTGAGGGACATCTGGATACAAATGCTTGACCAGATAGGGCCTAATAGATATGACAGAATGCATGAAATCCAATGGGGGCTGCTATGGGGGATGTGGATGGGGGAAAGGGACCTAAATTTGATTAAGATCTATTATATGAAATGCACAAAAACTCAATAAAAATTTAAATATAGAGAAAAGAAGATATGAATTAAGTTATACTGCAGCAGCAACAACCCCGACATTTCAGTGGTTTTAAAGACCAGGCTTTGTGTTCCTCCGTCTGTAAAGCCCACTACAGATCTGGCCAGTTCTCCAAGGAGAAGCAGTGAGGCCTCTTCCTCCTGTTGTTTCAGTGCCAGCTGCTGCCACTGCCACCAGGCAGGGCAAAGGACCTAGGGAATCCAAAGACACATGCTGTGCTAGTTCACTTTGAGCTTTTAGATCTAGTCAGGAGGCCCTGCCTTACTGCAAGGGAGCAGAGCAATGACTCTTAGGAGTTCCTGGAAGAAGACAGTGTGATGAACACCATCTTAGTAATAAAGGGACAGTTGTTTGAAGCAATCCTGCCAGTGTTCCTCTATAGCTGAATAACACTGGCTTGAATTCGAGGTTCTTTGTGAATCTGAGGTCAAGGCCAAGTAGCTCTATATCGCTCTTGCGCAGTCTTTTGCTGTTAGGCATGAGAAAGCATCGGAGGTTTGGGAATACCATCAAATAGCAACAGCCAACTGCCATGTAAATGTGGGCTTCTGAGACTGACACCTCATTCTCAAGCGCATAATAAAGCTTTGAATGAATGTTGGATGGATGAGTGGATTGTTCTTGGAAACATCCTTCAAATTCAGACACTGTAATTGGATGTAATTTATCTTGGACATCTACTCTGTATTCATTTTTTAAATGACTCTAAATGAAATTTTACATGAAAACAGGAAGCTGAAATCCATATATATTGCCTGGGCTGAATCTCTTTTTTTTTTTCTAGATATTACCAGGCAAGTCCACTAACAAAAGAAAAGCAAACAGCTCACGTTTCAAGAGCCACAGAGAGGTCTGGGGCTTGCTGTGACCATGCAAGACATCCGACCCGATCCTCTTCCTCAACAGCAGTTGCCCATGGTGTGTGTGGGGGGGAGGTCTCTCTGTGTCCTTTCTGTGCTCTTCTTGAAAACACTGAAGTTTTGAGGTTCTCCATCTGACCATGGTCCCCTGAGCTGCTTGATTTTGTACCATTAACTTTAAGAGATTTATTTATCTTCAGATACGAAGTTATAATTTCAAAAGAAAAAGTGTCATCTATGGCATTTCATTGGAAAGAAGGCTTGTATTTGTGTATCATAGATGAAAAAACAAAACTAAAGTGAGGGTTTTGTCCAGGGCAGTCAAAGGAATTGCCAAATGAGACTGTGTGTAGATTTTCCAACTAGGAGTCTAACTGTGTTTCCCACCTTGTGTCTGTGCTACTGAGCACCATTGGCAAAGACTACATGTAAGTGTCATAGGTAATGAGTGAGAATCACATCCATGTGACTGTCCAGTTGGACCCATATCTTCACCTGGACCCATATCTTTACCTCATTATAAGGCTGGTGCACACCTAGCTAAAAATCAGAAGGGTATGTGTGTGGGTGCGTGCATGCGTGTGTGTGTGTGTGTGTGTGTGTGTGTGTGTGTGTTGTGTTGAGGCTGGGGATCAGGAACAGAAAGCACCACTGAATACTCTGCCCAAAGTTGTGAGAAACAGTGCTGAGAAGTTACTGATGAATCTTTCCTGTTGAAGGGAGCACATGTAGCTTTGACTTCTTTTGTTTTTGTGAATGAGGACATGATCTTGTTATTACTTTATTGATCTAGGCCAAGTTCTTTGACACATTTCTCCCGTTTAACAAATAGCAATAAAATCCCTTTGTTCTGAATTTGAAAAGGGTTTCCTTTCCTTTTTTTTTTTTCTCGGCCAACCCGTCTGTGTTTCTGCAACGT